CCCTACACTGTCTTGGAGCAAACATCTCCTGTGAATTATCGCGTGGCACCCGTTCTTCTTCCGACGGACCGCCGCTACAGGGCAGCAGAAATAGTCCACGTATCCCGCATGAAGCCTTTCATACGGCGTTCATCTTCGCTTTAAAATGCGGCCAAGAGCTGCGGTCAGGATGACCGCTTTCACGTGGGGGGGAAGTTAGTGTAGGCATTCATTAAGCACATCTACTTTCTTTACACATATTCATCATCATGAGTGGTCGTCATCTTCATCTGCTGTGGGGACTTGGCTTGTCTGAGTTCTGTGCCTTGGGCGTGGTCGCTTCATCGTGTCTTCTGGGCCTAATAAAGGTTGCCTTCACCGTTACATCACAATATATATATATATATATATATATATATATATATATATATATATATATATATATATATATATATATATATATATATATATATATATATATATATAAACGTTGTCACACACTGCCCAAGCGCACCGTTGTACTTTGCTATTGTTCCCTCTATTTGTCCGTGTGTCAGTGTGCGCTAAAAATAAGTTACGATGGTATTCCCCGTCGCAGCGTACTGCCGTTCACACACAAAGAAAAAAGTATGCGCAAACGCACTCAGTACCACAGCGTTTCGAAAGAACAAACAACCTACGCTGTCAAAAATGTTTCTAGAACCCCATTATCGCCAGTGAAGGCTTACAGGTTGTCATTTTTCTACAGGATATTGGCCTAGTTCCCGCAGAAACGGTGAAATCAGCAGGCTGCTCGACAGTGTGGCCAGCGCGCGCCGCCATCGCAGACGATGCGGTTCAACAGCGTGCTCCTCGAGCGTATGCGCAAGCGCGAGCTGCTGCCGGCGCGCGACTGCGGCGCTGGGCGCATCGTGGTTCAGGAGGACTTGTGGGGAATACTGGACACACTAGGTGTGGAAGATGGAGTCACTAATCTTCTAAAGGATATCTATAAAGGTAACAAGGCTGTTATAAAGCGGGGAAAACAGGTATCCAAGCCTGCAGAGGTAAAACGGGGGCTTAGGCATGCTGCAGGGGTGTCCTCTGTCACCCTTAATAATTGTTCTTCATGATGTACCCACAAAGATTAGAGGCCAAATTAGAGGAAACTGGACTTGGCTTCAACCTCTATTTCGTCAAACAAGGAAAACTCATTGAACAGGCACTACTAGCATTGATATACGCAGATTATATAGTGCTAATGGCCGACAACAAGGAAGGTTTGCAGAGATTGATGGACATCTGCAGTAATGAGGGAGATAAGTTAGATTTCAGTTTCTGTAAGAAAAAATCAGTAGTCATGATTTCTAATGATAATGAAGGTAGTGAGCTTAGGATAGAGGAGGTCACGCTAGAGATAACACATAAATACAAATGTCTGGGCGTATGGAGAAGCAATGGGGTCGAGTACCCAAGGGAACACGAAACATACGTGACGACTAAAGGTAACAGGAATGCAGCGGTAATGAAAAACAGGGCACTGTGGAATTACAATAGGTATGATGTTGTGAGGGGATAATGGAAAGAAGACATGTTTCCTCGTCGGACGTTCGGCAATGCAGTCTTGTGCATGAGATCAGAAGTTCAAGCAAGATTAGAAATTAAGCAACGAGGAATAGGTAGGCTTGCTTTAGGAGCTCACGGGAATACACCAAATCAGGGAGTACAAGGTGATATAGGATGGGCATCATTTGAGGGCCGGGAAGCTAGCAGCAAGATAAAATTTGAGAAGCGATTGAGAGAAATGTGGGAGGAGCGTTGGAATAGGAAGGTTTTCAGCTACTTGTACATGAAGAATGTCGATACAAAATAGAGGAAGCGAACCAGAAAGTTGACTGGAAAATACTCATAAAACAGCAGTGGGCCAAACCAAAAAGAATTCTCGGTTAAGAAGAGGGTGAAGGAAGCTGAGAACAATCTGTGGAGATTCGGCATGCTCAAGAAGTCCGCACTAGAGATCTATCGAACTTTTAGGCAAGAAATTGCCAAGTAACGGATCTGTGATAATACTCGGGGTAGTTCTGTACTATTTGAGGCCAGGACGGGAGTATGGCGAACCAAGACATATCGGGCTAAATACGAAGGGGTAGACACGGTATGCAGTGTGTATGGAGAAGAAGAGGAAACTTCCGAACATTTCATAATGTTCTGTAAAGGGCTTAAGAGTTTTTCAAAGCACTGGGGTTTAGGAACAGGGAGGGCGAAATAGACTTTAAGTGGGTAGAATTAACAAGAAGAAGGTTATCTGCTTGGTGGCTAAAGTCAAGGCATGAGTGAAAATTAAACCCTTCACTGCACAGTATACGAGTCCTCAGCCTCACTATTTAAGGGAAAAAAATAAATCCAGTTTTTGGTTCACTAAGTATTACGGCTTGGTGGCGTGAGCCACCACCCGATCTAAAGGGTACAGCCATATCAATCCATCGATCCATTTGTCATATTCCCCGATGTCATGCACTCGGAGATTTCCTCTAAGTGTGAAACAGACTGTACATACAAAATGTGACGCACAACCTAAAAAAAAAGTGGTGGCTAGTCACAACGTGCCTCATATCAAGGCCGAACAAGCTGACGAAGCTGTGTGCGCGCAATACTCAGACAGAAAGCATCCTGAGACAGAAACCATCCTGAGAAAAAAAGCACACCCGGCCCAATCGGAGTTGGCGGAGGCGGTCGTTCATGAGTTGCCACGGAGCTGTGGTAAGTCCTATGTCGGACAAACGAGGTGGTGTGTCAACGACCCGGGAACGTGAGCATGATTTCTCGCTCACAAATGAGCGGCGCGCGCACCTTCCCGTGCATAGCGTGGAGTGCGACTGTGTGCCTCTGTTCTATGAAATGAAGGTACTGGGCCGCAGCGGGGGCACTGCGGCACGCGAAATTTTGGAGGGTTTTCACACAAAAAAGAAAGGCACAGATTGTGTTAGCCAAACGTTGGTATGTTTGCGGGTGAGTGAGTTTCAGTTGATCGGCTTTTTTTTTTTTCATTTTTCTTGCTTGACGTGTGCGCGGGGGCGTCTGTGGTGTACCGAAATTAATATTCTCATTCGTTTCTGAATAAAACTAAGTAGCAGTGAGCACTGATTTGATTGATATGTGGGGCTCAAAAGAACCCCACATATCACTCCGTTGACATCCCTTCGTTGACATATCACTCCGTTGACACCACTCCGTATGTCGACGGAGTGATGCAAGAACCATCGTCACGTGAAGACGTCACCAAATCATGAAGACGCCACAGGATGACATCATCAATCACTTGGCCACAGCTCGGCCTATCGCAGAGGCAGCGCGAAACCTTGTTAGGCGCAGAAACATCTCGGAGGAGGGATTATCAATACAATGGGCTGAGAAGATGATGGCCTTCATCTTTGACTCGTCTTAGGCGAATGCATATAGGACCTTTGAGATTTGTGTGTGTGTGTGTGTGTGTTGTGTCGGGCCAGATATAGCAAGGAAATTCGTTTCACGAATTTCCTTGCTATATCTGGCCCGACCTAGGTATTGCTGAATATTTACTGAAAAAATGGTGCCAGTGAGCACTACTTGCGTTTTCTGTAAAAACTCACCGTAGAAAGACAATGGGTGGGTCCAAGAGAAAAGAAAACGAAGGAAACGAGCAGTAATTCTGTTTCATAGCAACTCCTAAAACAATATCCGCACTGAGTGGTCACTGGATTGCTTTTCTGAGCTTGAGGTATCGGACTAAATTCCGGCCACGATGGCCACATTACAATAGTGAGGGAATATAATAATAAAAAGAGCCCGCAAGTGTATGGCTTCCTTGGGGTGTACATCAACCAACACCAAGGGGTCAAAATAATTCTGTATATGCTATTATAACATGGGGAATGGAGCATCCTTGAGCGCATTTACCGCGATTGCGTTAAACAGCTGGTTTCGAAGCAATTCCGGCGTCAGTGTCGGTTTCGTCGGTTGTCAGCGAAAAATTACCATCTTGTCTGTGACCGAAAGATTGAGAAAAATCCAAATAAAAGAATGATGAAAAATTTTGATTTTAAGTGAGCAAGTGAATAAGTGAGCACCTATTTCGGAGACAGCCTGGCTTGCTGAAGAGTGTCGCGAGCTTGCGAAGACTTTTACGACGCATGAGCAAGAGCGGCAGAAGAGTATTCGTGATGGCTTCGCCACTTCTGAGCCCACGTTCCTTCCTGGTTCCCTTGTATGGATCTCAATCCCGACCTCTGTAGCTGGCCTTTCTTCCAAACTACTCCCGAAATACGAAGGTCCCTACCGTGTGATCGAGCGCACATCTCTGGTCAACTATCTGATCGAACCAATTGAAGAATCTGCGGACATGCGCCGTCGTGGGCGCGACCTAGTCAACGTGGAGCGCCTGAAGGCTTACTATGACCCGCTCATAGTGACAAGCTGTTAGGTCGCCAGGCTACTCCCTCTTCGACCCCGGGGTAATTGTAGAGAAGCCTCCAAACACTGAAATGGGTCGAACTGTCAAGTGCTTTCTAGCGGGTCTACCCGAAAAGGACAACGCTCGCACTGAGAGTCGGTGCTTGGCCGTTACTGTCGCCATTGTGTATGCTCGCTGTGTGCCAGCTAATAAACGCCTTAACAGTGTTCAGATTGAACTTTATAGCGTATAGTGAAAGCGCGTTTTATATATTTTTTATAGACATGGAGGTATCGCAGTGAAAGGCTATCAAAGAAATTATTTGTTAATACTTACAAAAAGAAAATGAAAATTTGTAATATAGAAGACAGCCAATAGTTTTATGCTACATTAAAATGTTAGTTTCAATACTGGACAATCCATAAAAAGTATCTATGAAAAGGAATAAGACAAATTACATTTGCCATATTGAAGACGTATATATACTAAGTGAATACAACATGCTTTGTAAGTGTGAAAATTGAATTATGTTGAAGCAACAGCTTAATGATACAATGGGTTAACCAAAAGGTTAATTATATCCACTCTGAAGTAGAACGCTTTGCATACGCACATTGTTTCCGGATGAGCTGTCGTCCATGTCGACTTGAGTTCCTCTTAGAGACATGGTTGGGTAGCAATTTCACTACGAGTAACTTTGAGCAGAGAGACCTGCGTGTGAAAGATAAGTGTAAGAGGTGTTTACAGGTGGAAGTTGCTGTTGGCAACAGGTTTCTTCGATCTGCAGGTTACCTTCGGTTCTGGGGATCACTTTCGCCTTGGGTTGAAGTTCACATCATTCGAGATGACCCAAGTGGTCACACGCAACAGGTGGGCTCTCAGAACAAAGGGGTCGCCATAAGTATGTCCATAACTACGGATTGGAATAAAATGTTTTTGAAAGCTGAAAAAAAAGAGACATGAAGTGTATACACCAAGGGCTACAAACAATATATAATAAAGTAGTACCAACCTACTAGTTGGCAGGAACACAGTGTTTTAAACAGTCGACCGGGAAACAATACCGGAAGAAAGAAAAGACGGCTGCGCACCCTTCGCATGTTTTATATAAACCTGTTGACAGCGTGGTGTTTCCCACATTTTTAAAGCGATATATATAGTTGTACTTCGGTATGATGACTCCGTTGCCGGAGTCACTTGTCACGCTGATACGATGACGCGCAAAAAAGCATGACTTCACTACAGTCAGAACCTTCGTAATGCTCCGAAGAGCGAACATCGGCGTTCTTTTTTACGCTGATGTCACTGGCGAGCGACGGAAAAAAAAAAACGGCTACCCTCGTTGCCTGCTTACCTGTAAACTGTTTCACGCTTGCCGATGGCGCAGATAAGCACGCAAAACAAACAAATGAATAAATGAACTAAATATAGGCCAGTCGAGATGACAGTCTGTTGGGCGCTAACTAAAGACAAGGACTCGAGCATCGATAAAAATGTTCTGATGCTACAAGCGCTTGTACCTATACAGTGCATGGCCAATCGTGATGTCGGAGTTATTAGCGAGCATGACTGTTCACTGGCAAACAGCACTTTTGAGAGAAAAGCTTCGTCGATTCCGGAACATGGGCATAAAAACGGAAGTAGTTGTTACGACGGTCACGCAAAGAAACCTTGCATTTTTATAACTGAAAATGATTGATCCAAATGATTCATTCCCGTTATGTTGCGGTGACGTGGCCTATTCTTACTCATATATTATCAATGTTCATCAGACATTTTGTCATTCTATGTGGCTTTCGTAATTTTTCTTATATAGCTAGAGTGCTCTGGGTATCTTGAACAAATAAAAAAACCTGACAAATGCTCCCCGGTGAAAAATTTGACAATCTGGATTTATCCGATAAACTCCGGCTTTAACGGCCTGTATTACCCAGTCCCGTTATTTATCGAAAAGCCCGTTCTACGTAGGCATGGATGCATACAACGTTACTAGATCGGATTCATTGGCCAGTTTGGACAATATAAACTTTTCTCACGTCCACATTATCTTGTAGATCACACTGATCGCACATTTAAAAAAAGCGAGAGACGTCAAAGAATATGTTTTGGCCCCAGGAGCACGTGATGACATCGAATATATGCACCTGGCTGAGCATACTTGCGACCATTACTTCAAGCGTTAAAGTTGCAATACACACAGATGGGGTCCCGCCGCGGAGGTCTAGTGGCTAAGGTACTCGGCTGCTGACCCGCAGGTCGCGGGATCGAATCCCAGCTGCGGCGGCTGCATTTCCGATGGAGGCGAAATGCTGTAGGCCCGTGTGCTCAGATTTAGGTGCACGTTAAAGAACCCGAGGTGGTCGAAATTTCTGGAGCCCTCCACTATACGGCGTCTCTCATAATCATATGGTGGTTTTGGGACGTTAAACCCCAAATATCAATCAATAGACACAAACGGGGGTGATTTGTTTTGAAGTATTTTTGTTAGTGTGTATATATGCTTGTGTATTCATACCTTCAAGACTGATAAAATATGCTTTGTGTGTACAGATTTTTCTTGTTCAGAATTCATTTCATTCACGATATTGGAGTATTGAAAGTACCACAAAATTAAACACGAAGTTTCGGGGAATGGTGAATTTATGAAAGCAAACTTCAATGAACTATGGGTTTCCGCCACAAAAACAAAATTCGAATAGCGCTCTCTCAATTTAAAGAAAAGTAAACTCCGAAAACACGGAGCCCTACTTTTAACTAATAAGAAATCATCTTGCTAGGAAGCGCAGCCACTATAACAAAGAACACACAACACAAGCGCTTTACATAAGCGCTTGTGTTGTGTGTTCTTTGTTATAGTGGCTGCGCTTCCTAGCAAGATGGATCCTTACCAACTGGCCCGATACAACTGTTTAATAAGAAAGGTTGCAGTCGGAATTTTTTTTTGTAGGGATGTGGTGTTCAACAAAGCTTTATGCCTATTCGCGTGCCCGTTTTTATGTGTGCGTGCACATGTACGCGTGCCAAACTAAAAGATATTGGGAGGTTTGAACTCTTCCTCCCCATCACCCCCTTCCCTCTGTCTACACCACGCTAATGCGTGCTTTTTTTTTCTTGCATCTGTTCCAATGTTTCTAGCACGACACTATCGCTTTTTTACACCTCGCTTAGCCGGTCATGAGGTTGTGTCAAGTTGAAATTAGGGTACAGCTTTTATCTACAGCCTCTTATACCATATATTTTTGCAAATAAACTGCTATTAGGTGAAGTAAGGTCGGCCAATGGCTACTCTGCGAAAGTTCGATATGAAATGAAAACTGACGAACCACGGAAGAGCGAGCGATGTATAAATTCTTTGCATGCATCGGATTTGGTGGATTTTTTTGGAAGGAATACTTTTTAAAGAGCGTAGGTGTTCTCGGGTCGAGCCTTTCATCTCCGGGATCCCTGGTAACGCTTGTGGGCATCGTAAACGGTGTATGCACCATAGACCTCGGGTCATGGACCTCGTCAAGCCTTGTTGGCTTTTTGTGCATGGTACTCAGCATTGCCTAAATGTTGAAATAAATTTTATTTTATTTTATTTCGTTTGACATTCGGTAAATCCCACTGTATTCACCACTGGTACGCTAAAAATGGAGCCAACAGCACAACGAACGGGTATGGGCCATAGAAATCCGTGCTGCTTATCAGAAAAATATTGCCATCATAAACTAGTATATGCCACAGAAATTGAGTGAACCAGACTACACACAACGTTCAGAAATAAACTATATAAAGAGTGGCCGCTCGAGCCTTTTAGTGGCCGAGCAAAAAAGGGTTTGGCCAACTGCGTACCCGTGCCCGCTTTTACTCCTTTCTCAAAACATGTAATGGCCACCTCAGGAGGACATTGTAAACACAAGTTTGCCATAAAAAGTTGGCAAAGAAGAAATTTTATTAATTTGTGCAATTTTTTATATCCGTTCTACATCGTGTTCCGTTGAGGGTGTTTAATGCTTTACCACAAATTCAGTAAAGTCTGACTAGAAAATGTTGTTTTTCTGCATTTGTTTTGCACAAAAGGTGCGCAAGCACGTGAATTAGATGGACTGTACATGTATTACCTTTGAGGAAGCATAGATGTGTAGCGTAGTGGTAAAGACACTCGCTTTTGGATCATGAGGGTACGTGTTCGAATCCCAGCATTGGAAAGCAAAAACTTTGTAATTTTATTCATGCTGAAGACATTATCGGGTCTGACTAGCCACTCGTGGCGCTAAAAGCAGCGTAGTAGCTCGGCCGCAGGGCCCTATGGGAGTGTCCGCTCTTTATGTGAGTACGTTTCTCTGTGGTTCACCCAACGAGTGACCTGTGCGTTATCACAACATGTCACGTGATACTTGGTGGTTATCAAGTTATGGTGGCTATACTACCACGTCAAAGTTTAACAAGGAGTGTTTCATAAAGAGCAGTGATACAACATATCGGAGCAGTTCAAGCGAATGCTTCTGTGTAAACATGTGTATGAGGGCGGCATGTTCAAGATGCCATGAAACTTTACTACTTCCTCAAAACTCCACAAAGAGTGTTTAAAACAGAGCAGTGATGCAACATATCTGAAAGACTTGCAAAACATATAGAAAGGTGTTTGCTTGACGAAGGGATTCCGGAGCCGTCCACTATGGCGTCTTTCATAATCATATGGTGGTATTGGGACATTAAACATCACATATCATTGACGAAGGGAACGTCACCAACTTCACTTTTTCATCGGTGTCCGCCAAGCGGCGCTGGGTTTAATTGTGAAGGCAACCAAAGGCACCTCGACCGATTGTGCGTATCGATCTAGCCACCTTCGTCTGAGTGATCAGATATGCTAGGCTCATAGCATAGATAACATGGTCACGTACGTTACGAAACCCTTTACCACAGTCGTGTGTGGCACATATCCACACACAACGGCCAATGATATGCATCCGGCATATGCCCCACCGGTAATTCACATTGACCCGATCGAGGCAGTGAAAATGGATATTGAAAACAACTCTGTATGGTACTTGGCGTGTATAAAATAGGACCTAATTTGTTTTATTTTGTGATCTAAGTGTAACGCACGGACGCTTGCAAATGTTCCTATGTCACAATGTTCCTATGTCAAATGTTTCTATGTTCCTATGTCTTATGTCATATAAAAAAGTTTCCGGCGTACACGCCGGAAACTTTTTTATATGCCAGCGTAGTTAACATGCCTGGCGAGGCCGTTGACTACGCTGGCACAACTACTCGCATTACACAAAGACGTCGATCCCTTCGAAAGCAATGGTTCAAGCTGCCTCGCATCAAATTGATTCTCTGATTGCGTTTAACTATGAAACATACCGACGCTGCAGTCAACTGACAAAGCGTACAGTCTTGAATTTCTCGTATACCGAAAAGTGCATAAATCGGTCGCTAGCAATACACTACCACTTTGAAAACATGCCTTTATATGATACTCCAAGGGCCCCACCGCGGTGGTCTAGTGGTTAAGGTACTCGGTTGATGACCCGCAGGTCGCGGAATGGAATCTCGGCTGCGATCGCTGCATTTTCAATGGAGGCGAAAATGCCTGTGTGCTCGGATTTGGGTGCACGTTAAAGAACCTCAAGTGGTCCGAATTTCCGGAGCCCTTGAATATAACGGTGGCTCTCATCATTATATGGTGGTTTTGGGACGTTAACCCCCACGTATTAATCAATTAGATACTCCAATGAAAGGTATGTGTTTCAAGTCAGCCGAGCGGCGACAACCTTTACCCTAAATGCGTTCACTTTCTCCAGTACTGACGGCGGCGACCCAGAAATTATCAGAGAGAGAGAGAATAAACTTTATTGTAGTACGTTGTTCTGACGACGAGCGCCGTCGTTGTTGGAGGGCAAGGCCGCGTTCTTGCATTGCCGAAGGCGCGGTCAATTCTTGTCGACCGCGTCAATAGTGGACCACGCTTTCGCTGCGGTCGTGCACAAAAATAAGCGCGGCCTTGTTGTCGTTGAGATACCCTTTATTCCCGATTATTCACTTCAGCTATTTTTGCACGGGCCAGAATATACTAGTGCAGCGAAACGCTCTATGCACCTCTACCGGCCCCTGAGCGCGCTTCTGATGACACAGAACGTGTGCGGAAACGGACGGCACGCAAAGTCGTATAGTTGTTCACGCAGGCGACCTCAAGGTTAAATCGGTGTTAACTGAAGCCAAGAAACATGCGCCGACTTACCTGACTTTTTGTATTAGTGTTGTGAGAGGTCCCCGCCGGAAGCTGCCCGCAGGGGCGCGTCTGTCCTTATCGAACGATAGCGGCCCGACATCGAGAGGGCGCCAGTTAGAGCGCGATGACAGTTGGTCGATACTGCCTGATAAAATATAGTAAGGCCGCGGGAAGAAGCCACCGTGTCATTTTTCTTTTGTCTCCGAATAGCAGGGAATAAAATTTTAATTTTAGAAAAAAAAATTCCCCCTCTCAATGTCAGAAAGAGGGTAGGGCTGCCCGTTACTTCCGGGCGCCCGATAAGAAAGATAGCGGCTTCGCGCCATTTTTAGGGGCGCACTAGACGAGTTCTTTGGCTTCGTCGATAAAAAGGGCCTGTTGTATAGACGCACACAGAGTGTTTTATTGAACAGTTTGGCACAAAGATTCACTCATTATGGCGGGAATAAATAGGATTCACAGAAAAGCATGTGCGAGACCCCGAAGATGCAGCATTTTTTTTTCTTACGGGCAGGTTGCGCGTCGTTCGACAAGCGTTTTTATGGCACTTGTGGGAAACATCGACGCATTTCGTCTTTATTTTCTGCGTGTTCTCGGGTGCTTTAAACAGAGGCCAAATTCACGAATCTTGTCGTTCGCATGTGCTCACAGTCATTGCAGTGTCAGATTCACTAATGATGTGTTGATTATTACGATTGGCTGCCGTTTTCGGCCAGAAAAGAAAAGTAGCGCAAAGTGTGTTTTCTCTATGTGAACCCATGCCTCTCCACACTATGGGTATTCAAACCTGTCGCCAAATAACTTTACAACTCACTAACCGGGCTTGCATATGATAAAGAATAAAACACGAAGCAATCGATTAGAAGTTCAATATTACTTCAGTCAAAAACGTTGGGGGAGACGCAACTATATATAGTGCTCAAAAATGAATGATAAAGTTGTTGAAGCGTAATAGATCACTTCTACGTTGCTTTAATTCATGGAGATTCTTTCTCCGTGGTTTTCTTCCAACTTTTACAAAATTTATGGAAACATGCCCCTTGTTTATCTTTGCTAACAAATAATTCCTTTGTAAAATTTTCATCGATCACCTTTTTTCGTTCCTTTGCGAACTCGTTTGATGTACTTACGTGTAGATCAGAATGATGCCCGGTGTTGTAACTGACGAACACTTTGCGCCCAAGATTGTGGTTACATGACCCGCGATGCTCCCGTCTGGGTCCTCTGTGAATCGCAGCGCTTTACAGTGGTTTGGCTCGGAAAAGTGTGCTTCCGGTGAAGTGGATGAACTGGCGACGTGCCCATCGCTATCGGATCACAGCGGCACTGGTAACCAGTTATGTAACCAATCGGAAGTGCTTGTTTATATGTATTTGTTGCGCAAAATTTTCCCGTTGAGACGTACCTGGATTATTGCAGCATCGCCGTGAGGCAGTGTTGTCAATGGCTTAGTTTTCGGCAAGCCATGCATAATGTCGATACTTTAGTTTTCTCCCGAGGCAAGTCCAATAAACAGTGTATACACATTAATTCAGCCTGTCGCGACTATTTTAAATCTCGCGAGTCGGGAAAAAGCACATGCATTTCTGGAAAGCAAGAAGTTGCTTTTTTTTAGCTTGTAGATTAGCAAAAGAAGAAAGGCTAAATTATGAACAGAACTTTCACAATGTCCCGAGGAACGGAGATTTTACTGATAAACATAAAAAGAAGAAAGAAAAAACAACTTTTGAGTGATATATGTACAGGGGCGCCATGGCGAGTCCGCTGGCGATGCAGTGAGCTCCTTATTTAGGTGCCCACGAAGGCGGTCTCCCGCCATGTGGTAAGCGCGTTTCGGACGATGCCGAAGGCGTGCTCCTCTTGCGGCCCGGCGAGTCTCTGCTCAGGTGACGACGACCCCCTTGTGTACGCAGGCTCCTCGCGGCGCTTGCAGCAGTGCCGGCCACAGGTAGGTGCGGATGCGCTCTGATCTGTGGTCGGACGTGTGGAAGCGCACGTGCAGCTCCCGCCTAAAGGCACGCGTCTCGAACTCGAGCGCGAACCCGTGGACGCTGAGCGCCCAGGCGAGCCGCACGCAGTCGCACACGTATCGCGTCAGGCCTGCGCAGCCCTTCAGGCACGGGTAGTCATACAGCGTCGCCCAGATCTGTGCGCAGACTTCCTGCATCGGCGCAACAAGAGAAACCACGGGTTAAGAACATCAACACAAAGTACACTTAGGCTGCGCCGCTTGAGAGCAATCGTAATGTCTCATTACAGTTATTCTGCGAGAGGAAAGCAATGATACGATTTACAAATTGTTATAGATACTGAAAACGAATGTAAGAGGCCCACTAAACTCCTATTCTAGCGCTTTTATTGTTCATGCGCTGCGTCGTCTTCGTAATAGTCATCTTAGTTTTTTGTCTCTCTTTGGGCAGGGTTTCATATATCTACTTGTCACTCTTTTCGGATCTCCGGCAATTTGTTTTTATTTTTTTGCATGTTGGACTAACTAAGCTTGCTTCCATTTTTTGTAATTGTTACCTATTATTATGTAACGATTTCAACTTGCTCTCGTATCAACACATGCGGACTATCAGCACACCACACTTTGCGATGGTGTTGAAAGACACGAGAACCGCAGAAGGACACTTGGTAAGGTCGCTGCACCACAGAGCATAACAGCATTGCCAAGAAACAGCACGCATCATGGGCGCTGTCACAAATTAGGGGAGGGTTATGGGGGAGGGAAAAAAGTGAGCACTGGTTCTACGAAGCTTGCCTTGGTGCCTGAACAATTATCACTGCCTTCGTTTCACGTATTTCTATTCTGTAACACAGCGTTTCCGGTATTTGCTAGTCAATACAGAAAATACGTTTTAGGTCAGGCGTGGCTATTTTGTGAAGAAAGCAGAGAGCGCCAAGTAATAAACAAAATAAACGCAGCCGAGGTACATGGCTATTATGGTTCGGACACAAGATGCGCCTGAAGAAATGTTTATTATTATTATTATTATTATTATTATTATTATTATTATTATTATTATTTTGAAGTGCAACGTCTCAACGAGGAATTGTTGTCTCAGGAAGCTCATATACTAGAACTGTTAGAGAGATGAAGGGTCAACCAAACATGACACTGAGAATATGCATGATTAGAAAGTGCACAAAAAATAATATGGCAGCTTCGCACTAGTGGGGCAGACTTTGAGGGAAGAGGGAAGCTGGGTGGCCTTCTCGATTTTTTAACCGCGAAGCTGTTTAAGCCAGCCTTAATTTGATCGACCTATCAAGAAACGGGTAGGTCTATGCGCATGTGCCACAAGACAGAGGTCACTTCCACTACCCATTATTGGTTCACTATAAATGAATAAGGTTCTCTCAGCAACAATTGGCTGCGAAGCGACGCTGATGGGCCAATGAACCCGAGCATGTGAAACGAGAGAATCCTGTAGGGAAAGGCAACGGCGGCTGCGAGAAAACCCCGAAGCGATGGAAGAACAGTGGTTCTCAGACAAGGGATTTTCGATTGATTGATTTGTGGGGTTTAACGTCCCAAAACCACCATTTGGTTATGAGAGACGCCGTAGTGGAGGGCTCCGGAAATTTCGACCACCTGGGGTTCTTTAACGTGCGCCCAAATCTGGGCACACGGGCCTACAACATTTCCGCCTCCATTGGAAATGCAGCCCCGCCACAGCCGAGATTTGATCCCGCGACGTGCGGGTCAGCAGCCGAGTACGTTAGCCACTAGACCACCGTGGTGGGGCGACAAGGAGTTTTCGTGGATGCTTTTGAGAGCACTGGAAGTGATGAGGGACCTTTTGCAGTTATATATATATATATATATATATATATATATATATATATATATATATATATATATATATATATATATATATATATATATATATATATATATATATATATATATATATATATATATATATATATATATATATATATATATATATATATATATATATATATATATATATAAAAGGGGGGGGGGATGCCATACATTAATTCAACATGCAGCGTGAAGTATAGGTGTCTTTTATTCCTCCCTGCAAGGAATGGTCAAACTAAAGTGCTACAGCGATTCGCCCTCAAAAACGTCGCAAAGGCATACGCAGGAGTTATTGCAGGAGGGGGAGGGGGTGCATCCACAAGGGCTAAGGGGAAGGTCATACCTTACTGGTAGCCCTTCTTTCACTGTCGTTCTATGACCGGCTACATAGCGGGTGACGTGCAAAATTGGCTAGCAATCATGAAGGCCGCAACATGAGTAGCTTGTTGTTACTGCATTGTGTAGCTTATTGTTACTGCATTGAAAAATATCCGAGATGCCAAAGGGGGCTCCCGTGGGGCTTGCAAATAACTTTTGCGGTCTGCAGCCACATTCAGCCTATAGCTATGGTTGCTCTTCAAATATGTAAACCAGGAAAAAGTAAGTCGTAGCAAACTGCGACAGAAGCCTTAAAGCCTCTTGAAACATACATGGAAGAAAGAAGAGAACGAAGCGTGGGTGTGACGCACAATCAGGCACAGAATGAATCTCTGAATCATTTCTCGCTAACAGGCAGAGTATTCACTAATCAGAGGAAAAGACTTTTAGACGAACCTCTTCAAAGGTTGTGAATAAATTTATTCCTTCCGGTTCTTCTTTTGTTTGAGGGCTACCATGCGGGGTTTTTGCCCCAGGAGCGTTTTTGAGGTCGTATGCAATTTCGTACGAGAGACGAGACAAATTGAATGCTAAATTTATTGAAATCAAACATATTCTCGAAAAAATGATCATCTTTTTTTATTTATTAAAATAAATTTAATTTAAAGGTTATCAAAGTCAATCATAATTATTAAAATGATCAGTAGTTTTTATTTCTATTGTGAAATATTCTAACAAATTATTTCAAAACTATCGACTGCTTACCAGTTTGAAATCATGAACAACTCTTTTATATATTAAGGCACCACTCGTTTCATGGCTGATCCCCCATGGTGGGTTACACCAGAATAAAAGGGCCAATCAACCGACCAATCAATCAATCAATCAATCAATCAATCAATCAATCAATCAATCAATCAATCAATCAATCAATCAATCAATCAATTATTTTATAAATAAATAAATAAATAAATAAATAAATAAATAATAAATAAATAAATAAATGCATAAATAATAAATAAATAAATAAATAATGAATGCATGCATGAGAATAAGAACAGCCGGCCAGGCATAGAGGCGTTGTGTCTGTATTCTATATGCTACTCAGACCAGTGACTCTCGAGGTGAAGACGTCGCCTTGCCGGTCTGCCAGCTCGTTCCTGTCCCGGTGAACGAGGACGCCGTTCACGCATGGTGCTTGGTTACATGCTGCTTGCAACCGTCCAGCCTGGCCCTGCCTACCTGCCTGCACTTGGTTCCACGCTGTTTGGCTGTCTCCGGCGTTCAGGCGTATCCTTTCGGGGTGTGCGCCCATAACTGATGGTGCTGACTTAGGCACAGCTGACTGATGTCTGTCGCGCCTCCCCGCTAGGCAAACTATACCTGGTCGGCCTTTCTGACTAAGGACAATTTACCCATTGATCTTTCCTAGTGCTGTGGTCTGACAAACGTTCCGCTGGCTCTGGTTCCAACAAATGGGGATTCTATCGGCATGGAAAACCCCAAAAGCACCCAGGAGGAGCTCCGAAAGGTGGCCGAACACTTTCGAATGATCACACCAAGGTGCGACATTCGGTCCTGGAGGTATTCTGTGTTGTACACCTGATCAGGCCTGCGTTTCAGGGATCTGATAAAATGCAAATCATTCACCTCTTTCCCGGTGAGCTCTTTTGTTCCTTCTCACTTGGCCCACGTGAAAGGTTCAGTTCATGGGGTGAACGCCAGCCTATCTCCGCCTGAAATTCTAGAGATGTTTTCTGTAGCAGGAACGGTAGCAGTGTTGCGTTACTCACATAGCGTCGACAGCAGAAAGATCCCGACAGAGTCGGTGATGGTAACATTTTCTGGTACTACTAGACTGACAGAAATCAAAGCGTGGCCACTGATCTATTGGTTTGAAGCGCAATCTTTTCGTCCACTGCAGTGCCATAAATGTTGGTATTTCGGACAATAGCATAATAGGTTGCAGATCAGTAGACCGGTGTCAAATATGTGCAGGGAAACACCACGCTGATAAATGTGCAGTTCAGGGAAGGTCTTGTTGTCTCTGCAATGACCCCTACTCAGCTGATGATGGTAGCTGCCCTGCGAGAGCTCAGGAGATCCAACTAATGGAAATATTTGAACAGCAAAATTATGGACCGTCTCCCCGAAGGGAACCATGATGAGACGCGAAGCAGCAGCGGTACGCACGCCGTTGACCTGGCTGAAACGAGCGTCGACGCGGGTGCTGGAAGAACGATTTGGAGCGAAACTCAGTGAAGCCTTTACTCGAGTGAACGTTTCTTTGAAACGCAAAGACACGGGAGGCGGGTTGCGTTTCGTGTAAGTTTCATCGCAGATAAATGAGCCGAAACGTGTTTCCCCTTGACGTGCGGCCGAGCGTTGCGGGTAATGCAGAGGATGAAGCGAGAGAGAAGTGTGTTGCGAGCGGACAGAGGAGCAACAGCACCCAAGTGTGTTGGCAGGAGCTGGTAACTGCTGCGGGTGAGAAAGAGAGAACGCGCCGCTGTGACTTGACCTACTTGGCATCGTTCCAACAACTGCGGCAAGGAGAATGCGGTGAAATGCGTTGGTACGGAGACACGGACTGACAGCGTTATACAAGCTAGTCAAAGAGCTGCTTCACATCTAAATCGTTGTTACAGACGTAAAGCTCTAATTACCATCACAAAGCACTCTCATGGGTATGCTGGTACTATGAACCGTAATAATCATGTCACAAATTTCTCACTCTCAGAAATGATTGCCTCGACTGTGGAGGAAACAATGACAAAGCTGTTGTAAAATATTTTTGTAACGCTGACGGAGTCATTAGCTCAAATGGTAAACGCACAGATGACTCAAGTCGTGACGAACGCTAACCGTTCAGATACAGCCTGTCTACTTTCTTAAACTAAGAATGTAAATGCAGGATCGCTATAACCTAGGCCTTCGAAATCCAGCCACACGATAACAGCACCCGTTCAAAAATTACATTGATCAAGAGCCGGCCTGTAGGACAGCAGCCGTAAAATAATCCCCGTTGAGCATTTGGATTGGAGCTCTGATTCAAGCGCCCAGTACTCACAAATGAAATTCGACTAAAAAAATATGAAACGGTTGGAGTCGCCTGAAAAGCAAGGTTCCCCAGTGAGTCCTTAAAAAAGTAAAAAGTATCAGAAAGAAATCACACAAAAAGGGACTTTTTGAAAGATAACTCATTGCCGAAAGCAGTGAATGCTGCTGGTATATATTCAAAATTGGTGGATTAAGAATATTGCAGTATAATTACAGGTCAATTTCTTCTGCAGCTACTGAATAATAGCACATCCACAATCAACATTCTTCAGAGATTTTAGTCTTGGAAGAAACTTGGCTTTCTAAAGAAAATAGCTTTCGTCTTAACAAATTACCCCATATTTCGCTAATACCGTCCCTCGCGAGGTGCATTGTTTAGCAATGTTGAACTCTTTACAAATTGCGCATCAGGTAAAAATTACAGGTCAATTAATGAATTTAGAAAGTGAAATTTTAACGTTTGACATCTCTCTTCCAGGAAGCCTTCCCTTTTCATTAGTCAATGCTTATTTTTCATCACATGGGCCGAACACGTAACACGTCGGCAGGATAACCGCTGGTCATTAAGGGTGACTGTCTGTATTTCCAGAGAAGGCAAACGCACGAGGGAGAGACAGAAAGTTTGGTGGGCCTGTGAGATGAAAAAGTTCGCACGTATAACGTGGCAATGAAAATCACAAGACCGGGTTGATTGGTGGATCATGGGAAAGGCCTTTGCCCTGCAGAGGGCGTAGTCAGGATGATGATGATGATAATGTTGATGATGATGATGAAGAATGCTTTCATTTTTGTTTATTTCTTGCTTTCATTTTTTCATGTATTTTTTTAGCTTTCCTCTAAATATTATAAACGTGACTTTTTGCTCATGCTGCCGACGACATTGAACAAACATATGTTCTAGTATTTGGAGGTCTCCCCGTCAGTTCTTGTAAATATGGGAACTCCGAATGCAATACTTATCACTCACGATGTTACATTGTACGCAAGGAAGCTGAATAAAATTGATTGATTGAAAATTGGCTGATCAAATTGATTAATTCGGGCAACCGTTCCTTCGATCCGTGGCGTGATCGTTTCCGCCGTCATCGGCGGCGTTACCGGTAGGCATGAAAGAATACAAGAAGAAGAAGAAGAAAAAAAAAAAACACCCAGAATTGACTAGAGTTCGAACCCGGGCAATCTATGTGTCAATTCAGTATCCTACCAAGGGGAAACTCTGGTGCTTGAAACTAGCTTGCGAAAAGACACTATACAGGAGTTAGGTCATAAAAGAAATCACGATATTCTGCGTAATATAGCGTGGCGGAAAACTAAAATAATAAGCAGCCATCACACTATATGCTTATTGCTCAACGACCGTGTAGTTTAATGCTTCCCCCCCCCCCCTGCAAAATGTTCCGCCGTTTTTTCCCCCTCTCGCTCTCTCTATAGATCTTTATTTCTCTTTCTTGCCTTTTTACCCCTCTCTGTTTCTTTCTCTTTTTTGTGTTTTTCTGCATTTGTGTTTTTCTTTCTCTTTCTATCACGCTGACTTTTTTTTCTCTCTTTTTCGCGTCGGCTTCTTTCTATCGTTTTTCTCCCTTTCGTTCTGTCTCTCTTTTTTAAATCGTTCATTTTCGTTTTAACACTCGCACCTTCAGTACATGGTAGTCCCAGTATTTTAACACGTACCCACTTGCGGAGCTTCGCACGATGGAGAACAAGTTAACAATAGCTTAAACAGCTTCCCTCTGAAGAGAATGAAGGGGGTGCTTGCGGGTCATAATGATGGTAGCATTTTTTTTACTACGAAGCACAAAATACCGACAGCCTAAAAAACATCGTAGTTAAAAGATCACTTGCGAACGGAAATATTTGTAAAATAGCCGCCAGACCCGTCAACCTCCTACACTCCAGTTTATATATTGTACTTTCGTAACTCTAGAAGCTATAATTCTAATTCTTGGGCAATACTGATAAACGTTTTCATTCATTAGTGGTTTTCGCGACTGACCAGTCGTTTCGGCTAATAATATGTCGTGCGTTAACATAGGCTGGGGCTTTGCCTTAAGTTCTAGCATTGCCGGTTGATTTTAGTGAATCGCTGCCGTGCGGCCGGATTAACGGAGATTTTCGTCAAGAAGCGCTCTCTAACACTGGGCGACGACTTCCAGAGCCGGATTCACAAAACTTCCGTAGAGAAGCTGTGTAACTCGCTGGTGCAATTTCTTTGTGTCCGGAAACAGGAAATAGCATATGTGAGGGAACAAACCAAAATGAGCTTCCTGCCAGGCCACACTTGAACCCAGGCCCCCACGCTATGAGTGTAGGCGAACGTCTTGACCCTTGCAGCTACAACATGCTAGGAGAAACATGAATGAGTTGTACCCACACTGTAAAACAAGCACTTATTTTATATGAAGTATTATTGGTGGCCGTGTGAGAGCCATCTGCTGGCCAAGACGTAAAGCCGACGCCAAGGAAAATTACGGCTTCACGCAAATTGGGTGCAACCATGCGTTTCTGTGATCCGCTTTTCAAGGAACCGCTCAAGACGTTGAACGCCGGAAAGAATAACACGGTATGCCGATGCGTCAACGCCGATAAACGAGATCGTTCATTAGTTGAAAACATGATTGATATGAGAGGTTTAACGACCAAAAACCACCGTATATGATAATGAGAGACGCCATAGTGGCGGGCTCTGGAAATTTCGACCACCTGGAATTCTTTAACGTGCACCCAAATCTGAGCACAAGGGCCTACAACATTTCCGCCTCCATTGGAAACGCAGCCGCCGCCGACGGGATTCGATCCCGCGACCCGCGGGTCAGCAGCCGAGTACCTTAGCCACTGGACCACCGCGGTGGGGCCATTAGTTGAAAACAGCTTCTCTGTTTATTCACCTTCAAAGAGTGGGATGCCTCCTCAATTTTCTTGCCAATACTTACTGGTTACCATTGGGTAGGCGATACGTTAATGACATGTCTTGAATCTCCTTCGGATTGATGTATTCGCAGGAGTGAGCATTTACGGAGTCAGAACTTTTTCATGAACGCCGAGCTTGAGCCAATACTAGCAAGAAACATTATATTGTTACCACTATGCTGTATAAAGCATCGCAGCGCTTTTCTGCGTTTGAATAGAAAAAGAGAAGAAAAAAATATCAATGATGAAAGGCTAGCCAGGTCTCGGACCAGTTGGCTACCGTACACTGGGGAATGGGAAGAAAGAAAAAATTTTCCAACCCTAGTGCTGGGTAGCAAACAAGATACTAATATTTCGTTAGCCTCCCTCTCCATCTCTCTTTTTCTCTCTTGAGAAGAGAAAAGCCACTCTTGTTGCTGCCGGTGTGGTAACAAGTTTATGCTCGACGTCATATAGTAGTCACTTCTGTAAACTGCTCGCTGAGTCGAGATTCGCTAAAAGCTTTTACGCTGAAACTGATCGTAAGGGCAGCTGCTGCAGCCAATGGTGATACAGAACGAAATAACGACGAAAGGCGACAGACCAGTAACGAAGAGTTTCTATGCTCCGCTTCGCGAATTCGACCCTGCGCACAGTTTCGTGGCCATGCCTCTTGTAGCGAACGAATGACGACATTCAGCGATATATCTGCTAAACGGCTTTCCGAGGCTGAGTGGAGTAACACCGGATATAAGCCGGGGACGCCAACACTTCGAACAGCTTTGTAAGCGTTGTTCGTGCGCATTTGTGCGTGCGGGTTCATGGCCGGCCCCAACGCAGCGGCAAGGCTCTTGACACCGATCGTGCTCGCGGTGCTCTCTGCTTGCGGACGTTGCAAGCGTGATACGACATCGGACCTTTTCTAATTCAGGCGTGCGAGATCACGCTCTCGTGTCGCGGACGTACCTCGACATTCCGGGACACGTCGCACGCGTCCGGGTTGGCGCGCAGGTAGTCGTCCACACTGGCATCGAGCTCGAGCACTCGTGGGTCGCTGCTAAGCTGCGCCGGGATCTGCAGAGCACGCCGCACTTGGGCCTTCATCTCGGTCACGCTGTGTCGCACCGACCGGAAGCCCAGCTGCAAAAAAAGGCGGCACGCGCGCAATCTTTATCCGGTTCTTGCACTGCATACTGTCGAACAGGCGCGCCATAGTCTACAGTCATCAGTCGTCTGTATACTGACCGGAATGTAATGAAGTTACCGCTGCCACTTTTTTGTGTCCTCCAGTGATTAGAAATAATCTCTACAATACGAAGGAATGAATGCCTTTAATTTCTCCTTCTCAACAAGAAAGGTAGTGAAACGACCTTCCGGTGAAACGAGAGTTTCACAGTTGTAACCACGCCTTGAAAGCGACAGGAAAGAAACATCAGTTACAGCCTCCACGGTGGGTCAAGGAAGCTTCAAGGGCACTGATTTTACGAATAAAAATGCGCGTTTATGGCGCTTCCATGTGGTCATCGTGACGCCACGTGTCTACTGAAAACTGAAACTTTGAATTATATCTGCTACGCAGTTCAACAATTGCTTCTCGTGAACTGAGCGTTTTCGTAAATGTCGTGGCTTTGAAGCCTTTGTGGAGGCCATCACATGACGCGAAATACGCGTAAAGAATAAAAACAGTACACATGCCAGTATTTCACAAAATGCTCATTGCAACGAATACGTAACACTTGTTTCCCTTACGAAAGTTCCTTAAGACAATGGAATGAAATATTAATACCGGCAAACAAAATGACTATAAAGTTTTCTTTATCGATGCTTGAAAAAGGTATATTTTTTCCACGACTCCGATGCTATCGCCCACTGTTCATCTGCGATCACAATCATTGATTCTTCGCACAGCTGCCATATTCAGGCTATCTTGTTTCGTATTGTGCAAATAAGGCGGATGAAACAAGTGTTGAGAAATCTTGCATGTGTGATCCTCCACTCTAACAGTAAACCCGATAGTGTAAACATAAAATGTGTGAAAAAATTTACTGTTTCGCGATCGCAGGTGACCAGCAGGCAGTAAAATTGGACTCGCGCAAAAAACTGGCCACCTGTGCCGCCTGCGATGCTTTGTCCCCACTCTGTTATTACGATCACGTGGTCAGACGGACGCCGCGTGATTTGCCCGCAGGTTGACCAAGTGACGGTCCCTTCAAGTTGTGTTCACGAAAATTAAGAAAATGTTCGCTAAATTGTAAGTTAAAAGACACCAGCTGTAATGCGGTCAGCCGGAGGAGCTTGTAGGCTATAGCTTGCTCTTGATGTATGAGCTACGAATAGATTTGTTAAAAACCAGCGATAACCCTGAGTCAGTAAATTTGGAGAAACCAACGCAAATCCTCTCAACTAAAACATACCTTGATTGATGATTGTAGATTGAAGAAAGTATAGGTGGACATGCTCCTCTGCTCTCGTCAGAAAGAATCTTACGCTTCGTGGAAAAGCTCGGGTGTTTCAGAAAATGAATGGCGAACACCGCTGTCAATTAGTCACAAAACACACGCACACAATGGTGCCAAATTTTATCACGCTGTATATTTCGCAGAAACTACTTCCGATGCAACAAGTAATTCGGTCGAAGTTTTTTTTTCTCAGAAAAACCTGGGCAGTAGTTCGTGAAGTTTGTTTTATATTTTCGAGCCTCTTTTGGTGGGCTTCGATCACTGACTCCAACTTTAGGGCTGTGAGATAAATTATATCGGCAGCCTGACAGCCCATCACACCGCTGAAATCACCTTCGCTCTTCTCCGAACGTGTCCGACGAATGTATATATCCGGGCGAAAAGCACGCTATAGTGATAATAACAACGGAGACGTTTCAGAATAATACAACAGCGACACGTTTGATTTAGATCGAAGAAGTGACTTTGTATAACCTCTGTTACCTATAAACGCGTGTGTCAAGTTTGTGGCCGAATTCATGCCTTCTGCTTGAACACAAAAAAGTGCACATCTACCAAGCACGTGAACTGATGATTGCAAGCATCTCACTCACTCACTCACACGCACACATACACGCATACACACACACACACACACACACACACACACACACACACACACACACACACACACACACACACACACACACACACACACACACACACACACACACACACACACACACACGCACGCACAAATTCGCACGCGCCTTTTTTCTCTCTCTTTCAACATAAGCACATTTCACCGAATATTTCTCATAATCTCTCTGGGCAAACGAACCATAGAAATTTTATAAGACTTTAGCAACAGGTGTAAAAGATGAAATGCAGAAGGACGGGGCAACTATACGCTGACCAGTCATATTTACTGAGGAAGAAAATCCCGCACTGCAGCGCAGAAGCTGTGATAGCTTTGCAGGTAATGTGTCACCCCTTTCGCTCCAGATCCGCTCGTGATCGTGGTTTTCACACTTGAAATCGTCGAGATAATTACTGCAGAGTGCAGTACCTCATATACAGTGCTCTTACAGTGGAAAGCGCAGGAGAAACCTATATGACAGTAATATCGCTGGTCTCGTAAACGTTTACGCACGCGTTGTAAGAAGCGACTACAGCCTTTCCTTCACTAGATGACAACGCAAAATGAGCTTTCTTTCGAGCTCCTTTTACACATCATGCATCCTGTAGGTTGAAGTCGCATTAATGAAAACAGTCAGTATTAGCCATCACGTTATTATCAAAAGCGACACGGGTAAGTATCTAACTGCACTGGAGCGTTAATAAAATTAGTTGTGAGCTAGCAGTGAACGGGCGTCACGAATTTCGATGGGCCTTACTTTAGTCTTTGCCACCGCTCCATCACCGGCTGCCTCGCCAATGTAGATGACAGTTGTGCTCGGCAGAGGACGCCAGCATTCCACAAAGCCCCTCGTTCGGCTGTACTCACACGCCGATCGTCTACTAATTTCAGATGAATCAGATTTCCCGCGCGGTGTGTCTCCCGCGAAAGTAGGGGCGAAAAGGGTAGCACTGAAAATCCAGTTATAGAACCGTCCTCTCACCTAGCTGCTCGCGCTGAGACTCGTCTTGCTGTCATTGCGACTCAGTTGTTTGTTCAGCCCCCAAATCGGTCATGATAGTTGCACTTGCATCGGAGTAGTCTGGTTGGGGAGCGGGGCTGAACTCCTCCGAACTTAAAAAAATTGCATGCGTCTATATAAGCACACACAAAACCACACGGATACGGTGGCTTAAACCCTACCAGCAAAAGGATTCCTAGCTTTGCCCTTACGTCCCCATGACAAAATACCTTACAAAGAGCCTTGAAATCATAGCAAAGCAACTCCAAAAAAAACATATGTTTCTGTGTATACGGGTTGCCGTCACCTCATTCTATATTCATTGAGCGCACGTTTACGTGCAAGCAGAGCAAATGGTGTCTCTAATTTTATTGACGTACACAGAACGTATTGCATAGAGTTGGCTCAACCACAGGCCACCTTTCAATCGCAGTCGTCACATGACCGGAAGGATAAGTCACAAGTGTGAAACGTGCAAAGTTGGCTGGCACTCCTAAAGGCCGTTTCATATGAATATGTGGGACCTGAGCGAGCTAACATAGTTATGTACCTCATTGCTACTGCATAGAAAAATATTATCGAGAATTTCATTGAGGATATTACCTCTTTCCATTCCTCCGGACACCCATGTCTATTTTTTTATTTCGTGCAGTTAGACTTGAAGAATTTAGTGCGGTACTGCGATTGTTTATGCTACACTACCCCAGTCCTAATAGCCTTTTAGAAATAACACGGTTATATAAATAAGCGAACAACAAAAGATAAGAGAAACCGTAGCTAGGAATTTTCAGAAGGAAGAGGAATAAACATTTATTAAAACCAGCAGCTTAATTGACTGGGCCTATAGGCCTCCCACGTGGGGACGTCGAGGGCTTGCCTCTCCGCCACCTCGTGGGAATGCTATTTTTTTATGATACACACGAGAGCCGTTCGTCACAAGTTCAGTCAGCTGCATGGAGCTCTTTTGTATAAGTTTAGGTTTCTAAGTTTCAATTAGATTTATGCAAAAAAATAGGCGCGAGCTATTGAAACAGTGTCTTCTTTTTTTTTTTTCTGGCCTCAGACAATTTGCTCTAGCAGCACAACTCAACGAGGAAGCTCAGACGCCAAAGATCTCACTCTACGGCAACGTGCAGACTTTGTTTCTACTAGAAACAATGGACTGAATCATTAAGTTTACGCGAATCATTCTCTTTAACTTGTTCGGACATTTGGTGGGGTAGTTAGGGATTTTGTTGTTTTCGATACCGAGCCTTTCTATGAAATCGCCGGCAAGGAAGAGATCTTCATCTTTCAACACGATACCATGTATTGACCTGGACCACAGGAATGAGAGACACACAGGGTGTCTTTCTTTCATGTGACCCTCGTGGATGCCCGCCAATACGTCAGGAGGCGGAGTCAGATCAACTAGTCTTCTCTACATCCTTGGCAACATAAAGAGGTACTTGTCTTATGCAGTATAATATAATGAAAATTTTATAGATTTCTATACAGCAGCCGTGATATCAACGAATCTCGGTAAGGGCAGTTGGTATATGCGCTGTTAGCTACAAGTTATCATCATCGTGGTAAGTTTATTCATGCCAACTGCCGAGTAGAGGTCTAGCTGTCCCAATGACCTCCAGTTACTTATTCATTGCGTGAACTGGTTTTTTTTTTTGGTGCTTGCAAACTACCCAATTTCATCACAATCACACGAATCTCTGCCAACCCCATCTGTGCTTCTTTTGGTGCCCTCCGTTCAGACTCTCTATGAGAACACCGGCCATGAGGCCTGCTCAATTACATTCTTCTTAATCCTATTGATGCAACTAAGAATATTGGCTGCTACCTAACACTGTTTGCTTTCAAAGCAGAGCTTCTTGTTCTAATTCATACTATAACTGCATGCCATCTTTTGATTGTTGTATCGCTATGTCTTAAGTCAGCCAGTACCGACTAGTCCATGCTCTCGATCTTATTGGTTCTGCTGGTCATGATTTTGCTATGCCTACCGTACGCAACTGCAACCAATTTTCTCCCTTCAGTATACACTTTGCAGCTGGAGGCACCAAAACCACGTGCATAAATTGTCTTACCGGCAATGTGTCAGTGCCCCGTCGTGGCACAGCTCGCGTACTTACCACGACCACAGAGAAGAGGAGCTTGCTCTTGAGCTCATCGGCGCCCCGCAGCTGCGGGATGGAGTCGAGGGCGTCCAGCGTGTCGACGCGTGCCTGTGCGTACAGGCTGCCGTAGCGTCGCACCAGCACCGAGGGCCTCTGTTCGCCCTGGGCTGAACTTTCGAAGCGACCCCCGCGCGCCACCATTCTCTGCGCTTGCACCGCCAGCCGGTCCTGGAGCTCGCGCTGCCGCTGCTGTAGCGTCGCGATGGTCTGGCGTGCCGCGGCAAGTTCCTCGGCCACTGCGCTCTCAGATGATGATGACTGGACGTCGGTCCCTATCGCGCTCGAGCTGGAACTGCGATGTGAACGAAGCAGCACGCTCCTCAGGATTCGAGCGTTATAAACCAGTCATTCACACACCCGCCTGTGATAGTTTTAACGAGTTAGGTACTGAGCTGCATTTTAGGACGAGGGTTATGCCCTCGGCCATAGTGGTCACATTTCATCATCAAAGCCATCATTCCCAGCTTGTTTTAGTCCAATGCAGGACGAAGACCACTCCCAATGGTCTCCGGTATACAGTATACGATGGGAGCTGATTCCGTTATAAATGCGAAGCATTTCCTTGCGCAGACACTTTGGGCGAATCTATCTATCTATCTATCTATCTATCTATCTATCTATCTATCTATCTATCTATCTATCTATCTATCTATCTATCTATCTATCTATCTATCTATCTATCTATCTATCTATCTATCTATCTATCTATCTATCTATCTATCTATCTATCTATCTATCTATCTATCTATCTATCTATCTATCTATCTATCTATCTATCTATCTATCTATCTATCTATCTATCTATCTATCTATCTATCTATCTATCTATCTATCTATCTATCTATCTATCTATCTATCTATCTATCTATCTATCTATCTATCTGTCTATCTATCTGTCTATCTATCTATCTATCTATCTACCGACCTACCTACCTACCTACCTACCTACCTACCTACCTACCTACCTACCTACCTACCTACCTACCTACCTACCTATCTATCTATCTATCTATCTATCTATCTATCTATCTATCTATCTATCTATCTATCTATCTATCTATCTATCTATCTATCTATCTATCTATCTATCTATCTATCTATCTATCTATCTATCTATCTATCTATCTATCTATCTATCTATCTATCTATCTATCTATCTATCTATCTATCTATCTATCTATCTATCTATCTATCTATCTATCTATCTATCTATCTATCTATCTATCTATCTATCTATCTATCTATCTATCTATCAGCATATGTCTCGGTGCTTAACTAGTAGACTAAAATTAACATGGCGTGAATAATGTGAAAGCCCAGCTGCATACGATGTCAAACCCTTTCCTCCAAACAGACGTGGACATAACCGTACACTACGGACCATGGTTCTCGGCGAAGTGCCACATATGTGTTTTTACAGTTAACATCTACCGAGAAACACATTGATAATTTAAGTGCAAAAGCGTTAGGAAAAACCGACACCGGTAGTGCTAACACGACAAATGCAAAGAATATATTTTATGGTCACAGCAGGAATCAAACCCCAGCATTTTACGTAGCAAGCAAGTATTCTACCACAGAGCTACGCAAGTCTCTGAAGTTTTTAAAAAAATAAAGAACCTATGCAGGCGTACTGTTGGTGCAACGTGGATTGTAGTTGCAGTGCTGCTCGTCTAATTTTATAAAATTGCCTATGTACTTCAATGATACAGCCGTCACGTCGGGTTTACGTCAGTGGTACAATTAAGCGTCATTGACTGAAGTTGGTCTACTTAGCACTTGCACGGGGCTACAATGCTCGCAAGCATAAGCACTACATTACATTTTACCACTTCTAGTGTTGGTAATACCAATTTTGCTGTTGGAATCGTTACGCAACTGTAAACAACTGGTTATACAAAACGTAGGCGACTGCTCAACATACATGCACGTCTGTGCCTATATAACATTTGTACGCATGTTTAGCGTCATTTCGTAACGTATCACTCAATTTAAAAAAAAAAAAACGCACCACAGTCACCTTCTCTCCGCATTCTTCGCATGACATCGATTCCCATGGTACATGGGATCTGCCGAATTTAATTCTTGCGAACTTACTAATCTCGTCATTCCATCCAGCTCTCTGCCTTCTTCGACAGCGTTTCCCATCCCTTGGGGACCATTCTGTTGCTCTTACTGTTCATCAGTTGTCTGTCCTACGCATTACGTGGCCAATCCAGTTCCAGTTTTTTCGGTGAATCTGAACGATGGAAGCACTAATACACAAGGACACAGGGGGAAACAGAAGAGACCAGGCTGACGGCTGCCCCCTGGAGACGCAGAATGCCTGTTTACTCTTTCGGGAGAAGGAAAAATTATAGAGGAAATTAAAATAGGAGGAGAGAAAGAGGAAAGAAGACAGTGAAATAATAGAAAAATAAATGAAACATCCATGTGCTTCGATTTAGGTGCACTTTCAAGAACCCCAAAACGTGATCAGAATTATCCTGGTGTCCCGCACTACACTTTGCTTCATGATCAGTCGAGGCTTTGGCAAGCTGAACTCTAAAACAGGAAGAAATAGATTTTACTGTACACAATGGGCTGGCTGTTCAGTCATGGTGGCCTCAGGTGGCGGCTCGGAGTCCCAGGACTCGGGTGCATTCTCGGCCTGCCAGATGCCTCAGAGCAGATTGACTAAAAAAATCACAGCATAGTAACGGACTGGATGATGATGAGTGGTGCGAAGCGTCCGTCAGCCTTCAGTCCTTCGATTAGTTCTTGCATCCATCCGTGCGACCGTCCGTCCGTGCATTCGTGCGTTTGTCCGTCAATCCATCCATACATTCGTCCATGCATCCGTACATTCGTTCGCCTGTGCGTTCGTCTGTGCGTCCGTCCTTCCATCTGTACGCTGTGAGTCCATCCATCCATCCGTGCGTCTGTCCGTCCGTGCATCTTTCCGTCCATCCGCCCATCTGGTGAACGCTCCAGGTACCACCATCTCGCATATTTTCATCATATATTCATCAAATAGAAGTGCCCCCACTCAGCAAACATTCCAAGGACTAAACGAGAGGTGGCTACCTACTATTACGACTGCTACAACTGTATACACACATTGCAAACGCACGACCTACGGCGGCATAAGGAGCTTCGCCCCTAAAACATTCTCGAGCGTCAACTGGTTGCTCGTGTCCGGAGGGTGGTCCAGGTCAGAGGGTTCTTGGAACAAGGAACCCTCCCACATTCACTCATTGGCCACCTAATGAACGTTTTTTTTTCTCTCTCTCTCTACTCAGTCTAGACCTTGCCTTACCAACAAGTACTTTCAGTGCAGGTGGAAGCTTCGGATGGCATTGTCGGGTTCGGCCATAATCAAGTGTGTAAAAAGCGACAAAGAAAGTCGTATTTCTTCGCACAGGTCAACCTCGGTGGAAAAGTGGCTGCCATGCTCGGTTGCTGATCCAAAGGTCGCGGTTTTGGTTCTGGCCGCGGTGATCGCATTTCAATAGAGGCGAAAGGCCGGAGGACCATGTACTGCGCGATGACAGTGCACACTAAAGAACACCAGATCGTCTAATTTCCGGAGCCCTCCAGTATACGGCATGCCTATTAATCATATAGCGGTTATAACACGTAAAACTCCATATTTTTTTCTTCACCCTGCGCACGGGGACTGCATCTGCTACTACTCTGTTGAATATGGAAGCCTCTTTGTTTCTTTATTGAGGCAGATTCAGCGAAACAAGAAGTGACTGCAGCAAGAGTGCCAATGATTATGATGTTCCAAGTTAAATAAGCTCCACTATGACACTCTGGTGGGCTTGTTCTTTAATAGCTTTTAAACGCTATTGAACTGCATGAAAAGGCTTGGACACACGTTACACACATAACAACACGAGCACGGCTTGCCTGGGATAGTAGTGTTCTGAATTTTTTCTTTACTTGTGCCCGCGTACTTTCGAGCTGTTAGAAGCGTTCAACGTTTAAATTTTTCAGTTGTCTTTTTTATTGTTGTTTAAATTTTTCTTCAATAAAAGGCCAGTATTTCGAGAGACCAGAAAATATCTTGACAAGCGTGAGGGTGCAGAGCAAAAAGAATTATTTACAGTGTGTTTTTGAAAGCTAGTGTCCTGTTCTCGTCCCTCACCTGCTGTTCATGTCAGTAGGTGCGTCACATGACAACCGATTTTAATGTCAAAATAAAATATTTTTATTAGCATTTAATGAGCTTCAGACTTGCTCACAGCTGTCTCTGTATAAAAGGGATTTGTATAGTAAAGTAAGTTAACCTTGGGAAATTCGTGTAATGCACTTCCAAAGAACAATATAGTATCTAGCAAATCTGGCTGCATTTTGATGTGATATTCATTGTTTTTATGATGGCACTACTTCTTGCCGAGTGGTGCACTCGATCAAAGGCTTCGCAAGTATAGATGAAACGAGTATGTTGACATGAACGCGCGGAGGGGAGAATAAAATAAAATAGAGAGACTACTCAATAGAGCTTTTAGTTGGTTAGTGATACTTGGCCTATTGCCTCTGTCAGAGTTGGATAGCTTTGCTTCTACAAAAAATAACTTGAGCGTAAGAGGGTTAAGGACAGTATTCGCCCCGAGATCGGGCTATAGGGGGCAGCACCGTCATCTTGCTAGTGTCGATAGGCGGCCGGACGTGAGCGTGCACGCAGCGGCGCGTTTTCTGAGCGCTGTGAGCCGATTGTCGGCGAATGAAATGCGTTGACTGCTGCCCACTCGTAATAAATATGCCGTTAATTGCTTCATGAATGCACGAAGCTCACCGAACGTTACTTTTACTTGCGACAGAAACGCAGTCTGCCGTTAAAAGGGATGTTCGCGCTTGGTGACTGTCTGTACTTTCGCACTGCAGTGTGTCACGTTTCTTGTATTTTTATTTTAGGTGTTGAGCTTGTGCCCCGTTTACTATGCGCTGCTGAGCACAACTGAATTCATTCATCATGCACGCTGGTCATAAATACCAACCCCCCCCCCCCCCCCCCCCCCCAAGGAAAGGAAGAAGTTAGATATTTTTAGACGATGAACCTAAAAATACAGTGATTACTCATTACGCCCTTTTTTAATCATTTATTCATGCAATAAACCTAGGACAGTCGATAAATTTATTCAGAAAAGCTACGTGACTTACAGCGCTTAAGCGCGCTTGTTGTTACTCCTATAACAGTATAAAAAGGTAATAGTTCAGCCCACAACTTTCTTATATTGATTATCTGAATCAAAGTGGTAGAAAGGTTCGATTAATTGATGGAACGAAGTTTTTTTTTCAAGCGAATGTGTGTTCACTCCTTCCGTCTGCCTAGCACAACGCCACAAAAGCGCTCAAGATAATGTGAAAAAAAAAGTGACGTTCTCCTTGAAATTATGCGACATATGCGAGGCACGCAGTCTGGATTAATTTTGACAATCTGGCCTATTTTAAGCGAACCCGAATCTAAGAACAAGGGCGAGGCAATTAGGAAAATTTAACCAAAAATTGTATTACAGCGCTTGAATCGGTGCTTGGTCTGGCTCCAACCATAATACAATTTTTCGTTGGAGTTTTTTTAATTGCCTCATTCTTATTCCAACCAGGCAGACTTCGGCAAGGGTTCACCTTTGATAAGACCACGGGTCTGTCTTTTAAAATATATCGCCCAATGCTAAAATTGCGCTTGGCGACTCAAGTTTAGTCAGCTCCATGTCATTAAATTGAAGTACCGAAGTGTCAGAATTACATAGCACTGTCATGGGACTAGAATCGTACATTAGAAGGTTATCTCAAGCAGAATTAAGGCTCGTCGCATAACCGATAAGCAAGAAAGCAAAATTTTTTTGAGTAGACTCCTAACAACAATACAAAACTTTATCTTTGAGTCGCTGAAACGCTGAATTCACACAATATTTATTATTCCTCGTGTTTGGGGCGATGCCAAGTGCACTTTACGATGAGCTTCAGCTAAAAAGTGACACCTACACTGACATGATCCTGGCGAAGAGAGGCTACGACGACGATACACATCACTCTCGCCAAGTACTCGACCTCATCTTATTACGGTTCATATACAGATGAGTAAGGCCAAATGCTTCTGTAAACAGTGCTAGGCAAGCGTACAAGCAGTTAATCTTGCGCTAACAGAGTGGGACAAACCGCCCTTTGAGCACGAGCATGACGTACGCGCACGTGCTAGCATATGTGGATAGCAGAAGACGCCGGGAGCAATCCACACTAGGTGCGCTTCAGCCAGTGGCCACCAAGCGGAGACTCCGCTCGATCTCGGGGCGAATAGGAAACAGTCAATTAAGTACTATACACGAACGTCAGATGTAGCCACGACTCGGACAGAAAGAGTGAGAAAACACAACCACGAATGAATAATGGCATCAGTAAAAAGTCCTTAATTAAAACATTCAACACAAATAAAAAATTAAGAAGTAAACAGGTTTTCGATACTTATTTGAAACAGTATCACGTTATCAGCGACAAAATATTCACACCTCGATGTGGCATCCGTGTGCGATAACGACAGGAGTCTTCCTGTCTATGGGATCTTCAAGGAAATTATGTATTGTTAAAGAAAAAACACCCTGCCTACAGTGAGAGCGCAAAAATGCACCAAACAAACAAAATGCACAAGTAAATACATCAAAGCGTCGTCGCACAACCACAGAAAGTATGGTTTCACCATAAAGAAAAGTGTACATTAAAGAAAAAGATCGAAAACCGGGGAGAGACCGAGGAAGAAAGCCACTGAAACAAATATGCGTTCAAAGGAGGTCGCCTCGACGAAGCTGTCAACAACCACGCAAAGATCACCGCCTTTGCAAACTATGGTGGCACCAACCTGTAGTTTGACGAAGGGGCCTTGCAGCCCTGCCCCGCCACTCGCTGCATGGGCGCGCCTGATTGGTCCGAGTCCGAGTGGTATCCGGCCGAGAGGTCCGAGTCGTCTTCGTCCACGTCGCGAATCAGCTCGAGCACCCGCTGGCAGCCCGCCGAGTAACGCAGCAGCACGGGTGCCAACACGGCAGCCTCGTCCAGCTCCTCGGCGATCTCCTTGCGCAGCTGCGTGAACTGCACAAGAAGGAGAGAGGACCGCCCCCTGTCACCGAGACGCTCCAGAGACACCGGCACGGCCACCTCCGAGGGAGCATCGCTATACGTAATACACACCGCAGAGGCTCCTAAACGCACGGCCCGCGGACCTTTCGCTGACGACCCGCGGATTCATGAGGAGTAGGTCTTTGGCTGAATTGTACTGGCATTATTTACCCGACTCCAGTGAGTAATAACAATTTGTCCGTGTAAGCCACAGGATTGGTCTCAAGAATTTTTTCAGAGGCGCACTGCAGTCGCTATGAATTGGAACATCACCGTTTAAAGGACCAACTATGAAGAATGTCTTTGGAGTTACTTGTTAGGCCTGTCGTTCACATTTCTAATCTAACCCGAATGTGAGCACAGAAAAGTGGAACGCATTTCACGAATTAGGTTATATTTGGCTGTTAACTGAAGGGCTATTGACCTTCCAGTCTGAGTGAATAAGCTACTGTTTGTTTCTATAAGGCGCATGCGAAGTAGTCCAACCCGCGTGTGTTGACCACGCAAAGAAAAAGAATTATTTCGATTTATAGTACCATTTCATACCAAACTTTCAAAGAAATTACCACATTTTCGGCGCGAATTTTTCTGAGAAAGTTGCCTTCTCAGCACTGCTTCACAATAATTATATGCCGAGATATTTATCTTTTTTTAAATTTTGCCGTAGTTAGCTGTTGAAGTGCGGGTTATACGCATGGGTGGTTCATACACTTGAAAATGCGCTATTGATGTAAACAGGCCTCGGCATCTTTATGTGTAGCTCTGCATACTCGTCGAGCGTCGGAATCTAAGCATCAATATAAGCTCCGCCCACAAGGCTGCGCCCACAAGGCCACACAGGCGCACACACACACACACACACATTTGTGAGTGTAGTGATCCTCAAAATATATTTTTTACGCACCCCAGCCATATAAAAGATACAAATGATGCGTCGCAACTTTTCGATGACGAAATTATGGTGCGTACTGAACACTTCAAGCCCCTGTGGCTTCACTATGCTTCAAAATCAGCCCCCAGAAAAAGCTTTCAACTGCCTCGAATAAAGTGAGTGACGCTTGGGCGCGCGCAATCAACTGTACGAGATAAATTGTTTTAGCAGAAACAAACATGACACTAAAAAAGAAACGCCAGGCCTGCTCGGAGCGCAGCATAGCCACAGCATAAGCTCGAAAAAACAGAATTTTCCAGAATCCGGTGTAAACTCTCTTGGAATTACAATGTACGCTTGCAAGGTTCCCGCTTAAACATAAATCGTAATTTTGTGAAGTACACAGAAGCCCTTCTACGCCATTATTCGCTTTTTTTGCGGAAAAGGGAGTACCCACTACTCGCTCGCAAAGCATTACGTGAATTTACGTTGTTCATGTTGTCATTGATGACACTGAAAACTTACGGTATTGCCTTTATATTGCGTTGGAACTTGAAAGTACTCAATTATCCACTCATTACGCCATTCTCATTGTGCGACACTGTGCTTTTATCTATACTCTTTCACCATGCTGAATAACATGTAAAAGTGGATCCTTGCCGACATGAAGCTTTTGCAGGGTTTTTTTTTTTTTGCGAAAGAGTTTCGAGCACCACCAATGATCTGATTAAAACTCTGGGCTACAATCCAGAGGACCCAGGTTCAAACACCATTCCAACCTCGGCATTTTTTTTCCTTATTTGGCGACATAGCGGTGATGGACAACGGTGGCAGCGGCGGTTAACTAAAGAAGAAACGACCGACAATGATTTAGAAAAGAAACGCATGAGCGCAACACAAGGAATGAACGAGAATGTAATAATCATCAAAATAACGAGTTATAAAAAATAAACGAAAACATACAATGGAATAAACCAATTCGAAAGAAAGAACGAACTGTAGTCCTTTCAGCAAATGCGGAGCATTTTCTGTGCATGATGGGACCTCGAAGTATTAACATATGTTCAGCTTTACCGAACAAATGTTTTAAGGTTTTCTGAAACGATTGCGCTTCTCTAAGGCGAACGCTGCGTTATTGTTGTTGTTGTTGTCGTTGTTGTTGTTGTTGTTGTTTCCCTGTGCAAATGGCTCGTACCTAGAGGAGGGGATTGGCCGATTATAAGGTGGATTTGCCGGATACCTTCAGCATTGCGTCATTCCTAAAAGAACTTTTGTGATTTAATTCTGATTAGAAAGGCCCATTGCAAATTTGCAAAAAAAAAGAAATAGTGATACCGTAATTTAGCAAGAAAATTGTTTAGTAGCAGTGATGTATTCCTGAACGGCAAATAAAACATCCCTGTGGCTGAAACCCAGTGTAGAGGCTCCAAATGAAAGAAGAGCAGGTTGTGATAATTGCAAGCCCAGTTTTTGAAGAGGTGGTGCTAGTATGCTTTGCTTGAATAAATTGAAACGGCGACAATGTAATAAAAAACGACTGATCGTTTCTTCTTCGTTACAGTAAATGCACAGAGGAAAATTCAATATACCTGATTTATGCAAGCAAAAATTGAGGGAGGTAACACGGCAACGAAATTTTGCGATGACAACTTCCGTCATCCTTGAATTACACAGTTCACTACGCCAGAAAAATAACAAGTGGTTGTACTGCGGAGGAGCTGTCAATGCAGGGTCTGATAAGTTTTGCCTGATTTTAAGTGTGCGAAATCGCGCCACCGTTATGTGTACTGTATGAAGGAAAATAGGAATGATGGGTGTCGAAAGCGATGTCTTCACAAGAGAATCGGCTATTTTGTTTAACAACAAACATTTGTGCCCTGGTGCCCAGATTAAATGAATACTTCGGAGATGACAGGGAGCCAATGATTTAAAAAGTTTCAGTATGGGTGAGCAACCGGATGCGGAGAGAGAAGAGCACACTGATAATGATTCAGTTATGGCTGCTACGACTGGAATGGAAGTATTTACCTTTAGCAAAGCTAACATTATTGCCATCAATTCAGCCAGAAAGACAGCAAGAAAATGTGGTAAGCGAAGTGAAAATGACCAATGAAGTGCGGGGCAATATATTTCAACGCCTGACTTTTCATCTGATTGAGATGTGTCCGTTGGTGTAATGACATTTGTTGGCAGAGTACTTAAATGGTTTCGCAATAAACCATTTAAAACACCTGTAGGTAATAGTTTAGCGTGAGTTGGGAAGATATCATGGTAAACAATTTCTGGAGAAATTTGTTGCTCAGTTAAAGGAATCAGATCACGAACTTGTACATTTAGAGGCTCAAGTAACCATTGAACAAATACTATTTGTGGTTTGTGAAATCTGGGCCAATGCACGGAGAAGAATAGGTCAGGATTTGAAATAAAAATAATTTGTTCATGGTTAAACGGTGCTTCATATAGTCGTAAAGAGGTCTGCCCAGTAAGAATGTTAAAGCGACATAATAGGGTTGGTATTCGTGCTTCAAGGTATAACACTGCATTTGCAGTAGACTTTGGAAGAGCCGTAAAGCCTCTCTTTCTAATAGAACGAGGGGCCGAAGTTTGTTGGCTGGCGCACGAGAAAAAGAACGCAGCCAAACTCTAACACAGGTCGGACATACATTTTATATATTGACACGTGTTCATATGAAAAAGAACGGTGATAGGAATGTTTTGTAGATTCCCGCTAGTGGGTCCGGTGGTTTTTCGGGACGACAACGAAGCAGGCATCTTGCTGTACAGCTGATCCTGAATACGCTCTTTTCGCTGCCGTAAGCTGCTGTCATCTTTTGTTCGCGTTGCACTGCGACACTGGTGGAGGAGCTGGGTACGTGACACTACCCGATGCTTCACACTCCTAGTGGGAGCCGTTCATCCAGCCCGGACGTGCCTACTGCAACCCCTGTCCATCGATTCAGTCGTCGGCTACGAGGTATTCCTCCAGACTGCAACCCCTCGCAGAAAACCTCTACCGGACATCTAGAAATGGCTAACACCAGCCCCCAGCCTGTACTTCTCGGCACCAGTCCTCCCGCTCCATCCCAGGTAACGTTTTTTCAATCACTGGAGCCTAAACGCTTTGGTGGTGGCGCACACGAAGATGTAGAAGACTGGTTAGACCATTATGACCGTGTTGCGAAGATCAACCACTGGTCTGCTCAGGAAAAGCTCGGCCGGGCCTACTTCTATCTCGATGACAGCGCTCGTACTTGGTACGAGAACAGAGAAGGCAACCTGTCCACATGGACCGACTTTCACCAGAAGATGGTTGAAACTTTTGCCAATGTCGACAGACGTGACCGCGCCCACCAACTACTAGAGCTAAGGGTCCAAAAACCCAATGAAACGGTCGCATTTCGCCGAAGACATGACACGTTTATTTCGGAGGGCTGACCCGCAGATGACTGAAGATAGGAAGTTGCGCTACCTCATGCGTGGCGTGAAAGAGCAGCTGTTCGCTGGACTTCTGCGCAACCCGCCAAGCACTGTAGAGAACTTCATCAAAGAAGCGTCGGCTATCGAGCGGGCCCTTCACCAACGCTGCCGACAATATGACCGCTTGTGCAGCAGCCCCCAAACTCAGGCCGCCGCTGTGACGTTTGACAGTCATGGCTCCTTACGTGACATAATTAGAGAGATTGTTCGTGAAGAATTGCAAAGGCTGCGGACTCCGGTAGTGGACACACCCATGGCATCTGTCGCTCAAGTCGTCCGTGACGAAATCCGCCAAGCATTTTCGACAGCTGATCCTGCCCCGGAACAACGTCCTATGACGTACGCCGCCGCCCTTCGAAGCTCCCCACCCGCTCCGCCTTCATACTACCCCCCACCTGCAACTGTTCCTTGGTCACCACCACAGGGGGAGACACCGTGGCGCCCATCCATCCAGCCCCCATACGACCAGTCGTCTTCTGGCTTGCCATGGCCTTCGTCGCGTGAGGAGTAATCACGGCAACCACAGCTTCGCCGAACAGACACCTGGCGCACTGCCGACAGGCGTCCACTTTGTTTCAACTGCGGAGGTGTAGGCCACATAGCCCGCTATTGCTGGCACCGCGCC